CTCTTTCCTCTCTATATATATATATATAGGCATTAAGTTATTGTGCTAATTGTTGTTTCCATTGTTTAATTAAGGATAATAACATCTTTAGAATAATCATTTAATTCAAAGATACATCAAGTATGACTTTATTGTATGATACTTTGGACAAAAAATATTATTTTTAAATCATCCATAGTTAAATATTATTATTAATAAGGACGACAATAATGCATTGTCTAATATCCTCGAAATTTGATTTAATAATTTAATATTGATCATAGGCTATATTAATAATCAAGTGTATTTTAATTAATATCATATGTGTTTATTTTATTTATAAATAAGAGATGTTATTAAAGGAATGGTCTTTTAAGGTCCAATAAGGGGCTAGGTAACATTATGCTAAATAATATTATTTAAAGATTTTAATTAGGGATAATAAGATTAGTAATAAGATAAAAGGACTTGATATAAAATAGATCATGGGCTATGCATATAATACGAAACTCTAGGGTCCAAGAAGAAGACAAAATGGGATAAAAATGGTTAAACCCTAAAAGACACACATTGCATTTACCACACCTAGATTAGAGAGAAAGAGAGCAAGAAGAGATAGGAAGGAAAAAGGATGGAGTCAAAAAGATATAAATGATAGAAAAGACAAAGGAGTGAAACATTACCTAATAAAAACCCTTGCGACTTGCGCTTTGAGGTGAGTGCAGTCCTTTCCATGTCTTCCCTTCCCCGTAATTGCCTAACTGATGTATCATATTTATTTGTATGAATTTATGCTATTTTCCTAATTGTAGGATTGATTGTTTAATTAAGTATTCTTTATCTTTGTAAAGTTGATTATATAATGAACCATATTAAATTGATGTTCTTTGTGAATATTCCATGTTAAGGTTTAGAAAAAGAATTTATTAGCTAGTTTTATAAAATTATCCATCAAGCCCCCTTAAATAATGGTATTGTATGTCTTCCTTTTCTCATTCTCAATAGAAATTTATTAAGAATATATTTTGTATAGTTTCCCAATCTGATAGGAATTAGTTAGGAATGAATTTTGTATAGCTCGTCGTTCTTTATAGCAATTAATTGGATATTTGTCTCCCTCGATCCACAAATAATAGTGTCAACCTTCTTACACAACACAAAAAATGATTTTTTGTCATAATTTTTATGTTATTTAGCGACTATATAAATGATCGTTAATATCTTTACCAGCAATTAGATTATGACCGGTGTATTTGCGATCGGTAAAATTATTAATGACATTTAAAGTAAATGCTGGTAAAAACCTTTTAAATGGCTGAGAAAAATAAAATTTTTTAATGATAATTCTAGTGACAATTTTAATGGCCACTAAAAATAATTTATTGAATAATAGATTCTCATATATGTAAAAAAAAATTGTATAGAAATACAATTGAATTTCATTAGATAAAATAATTTATTTTGATAGTGTATTGATACTCAATTAGTTAAATTCAATTAAATAAAATTATTTTTAGTCCATGCATTGAAATTGATGAGGGAATCAAATTCAATTTTTCATCCATTGATTTTTTTTTATAAAAAAAAACTATTTTCTTTACTAATATTCTCATCCAACATTTCTCATAAAAATAATGAGAATAATAAATTTTTGATATGACTACTACATATTTGCAATAACACAAGATGCCCATTTATTAGAGTAATGCAAAATTTATGAGTTTATCATGTCTTTGAGATGCCAAGGAAACCATTAAAAAGATAAAATGAATAGTCAATGATGTCATGATCCAAAGAAATTACATAATTTCATTTCTAAGATAGTCATATCCCCAAAGAAAGCAAAGTCTTTAATGATCTAGTGCTATTTGCTAAAATATCTAAAAGGTCTTCATCAATTACAATTAAATCCTGCAAAGCACAAAATAAACAAATGGATGTCACTACATACATGCATTCCAATAATTAGTAAGAAATGACCAATAGAAAAGGCAACATAGTCTACCTCCTAGACTACTAGTTCTCTGTTCATGTAAGCAACATAGTCTACCTCCTAACTTCTTTAGATTGAAATTAATGATTCAATTCTGCATTATACAACTCGACCAGGAAAATATATCCAGTAATTAAATCAAATAGGTGAATTTAGTCTTTCTTATTTCAGAAAGCCATTGTGTTCTATCCAGTAATGAAACTTAAATCAAATAGGTGAATTTTGTTTTTCTTTATTAAAAAAACCATGACCTGGGATGCCTAAGAAGAAGAAAAAAATAGAAAAAGTACCTCAAAATGGCATAACATGAATTTATACAGAAATAGGAAAAATAGAATCACGTAAAATCTGCTATTGATAAGCATAACGTATGATAGAAATAAGGACAATTAAATATTCTGATTCTGACAATTATTTGACTCTTTTTTGCCTAAAAAACAGGAAAATAAAAACTGATATTTGGCAGCTTGATGGGTCATTTCAATTAACACTCCTCCTTGACATTGAAGCTGCATGTTCCAAGTCTTTTCCTCAGGAACTAAAATCTGTCTTAATATTGTATTTTGGTTGTTGTTGCAACATCCTGCAAGACAAATTATTAGTTAGATAATAGTCATTCAATTTAATTTGAATTTTTTAAAAAGTCATCAATCACTAACCACATTGGCCTTGGTCCTTGATGGGTGTCACTGCTCCTTTTTGTCTCCAATCTATTGAGGATGGTACTGTAGTTACATTTTCATACTTAAAAGTTGTAGTCCTTGTGATTGAGGAACACACGTGGCCCTTGAATCTATTTCTTGATGCTATGAACTCCTCATTGGTGAGATCTGAAAACTGATTAATGCCTAGCTTGTAGGGTTTATTGTTAGCATTGTTGAAGGCTTCAATGTAATTCACATTGTCCTTGAATATCCTGAAACGTTTTTCCCTTTCCTGAGGGTCCTTATACACTTTTCCATAACGAAGCATCCATTGCTCATGTCTCTCATACATGGAGGCATCTTGGAGAGTGCGAGATGAGACTTGAAGAGCCCAGAATGCCATGCACAAAAGCATTGCCAATGAAATATGAAACAAATGATTTTTGGATACCATGGTGGCTGGTAGTGTAGTGTGACAATTATGGGAAGAACTGCTTCAGGTTGGTTAATGAAGTGTGAGAAAGATGTGTTGTGGTGGTACCAAGATTATTTGTGGCATTTATAGGCAAGTTAACTTTGAATCGTAAATTAATGTTTTTGTTTTCAGCTAAAATCTGGAAGCACCTTTGTCTAAATGTACGAATGAGAGAATGTTTTGAATAGGAGTCTTGTATACAGGTGTAGTAATCCCGAGTCCCGACAAATTATTTGTCAAGGTTAACGTAGTCTTGGAGGAACTAGCACATAGTGACAGAGTAGTTTTCAAAGGGATTCCATCTAAATAATTATAAAAATAGAGGTTTGAAAAAAAAATTAATTTCTTGTACATGCATATCGTTAACAACCAAATAATAAAGTTACATTCTTCCGACAGTTATTATTGATGATTAAATGGTAATTAAGACATATTGATTATAATTTAATGGCTTAATTGCACTTTTGGTCTCCGGTGTGAGTTGTTTGTCCCATGAAGCAATTCAAGCCCCGGTTTCTTGCCGTTGGAAAACTCTGACGTGGCAACATGAATTGCTTGAAGAAGAGAGAGTTGCTTCCTCAAGCAACCGTTCCTTACCAGATTTCAAACATATCTTATTGAACATATTTGGGAATGTTTCGGAAATAATAATGATGAAAATTAATTTTGTATAATATTTATATATTTACTATTGTTTTATTTTATTTTTAATATTTACTTATTGTATATTTTTTCTCGTAATTTATTTTCTTTCATTGTAGTGCAATTATCCTCTTTTTTTTTAATTTAAATTTGGTTCATAAATGATTAGAAAAAAAATTCTAAAAGTTAAATTTCTTAAAGTTTCTTAACATTGAAGTAAATTTGTGTTTGAGTTGCTTAATGCTGACATGACACACTAAGGACCACTTTTTTCATTTTTCAATGCATGAAGCAACTCAAATGAGTTGCTTCCATTGGAGATGCCCTTAGTGCAAGAGTAACTTTGGTCCTCATAATTTAAATTGCTTAATTTTGGTTCATAAATTTAAATAATGGGCAATTTTAGTCTTACAAACAATTTATCATCCAAAATTTAACAGATGTTAATAATGTGAATTTTATGCTAAATAAACGTTAATTATATATCATTTAATTTCTTATGTGTCAAATTATTTAATATTCAAATTTTAAAAATTTTAAATTCATTTATTTTAAATTTCTCTTTCTTATACGTGTTAATGTTGCAACTGGAACGGCCCGTTCTCCAAGCAGAATGGGTCGTTTTGCTTGCACGCGTAGTCTGTTAATTTTGAAACTGGAACGTCCAAGTAGAACAGCCCGTTTTGATCCATCGTCATGTGTGTATTTTTACATCTGGAACGGCCCGTTCTAAATGGAGAACAGGCCGTTCTGCAAGTGCTGCAAGGAGAACGAGCGTTTTGAAAGGAGAACGGGCCGTTCTGGATCCAGTTTTATACCATGCTCAGATCTAAAACGCAAAAAAAAAATTAACACGTATAAGAAAGAGAAATTTAAAATAAATGAATTTAAAATTTTTAAATTTTGATTATTAAATAATTTGACACGTAAGAAATTAAATAATATATAATTAATGTTTATTTAGCATAAAATCCATATCATTAACGTCTGTTAAATTTTGGATGGTAAATTGTTTGTAGGACTAAAATTGCTCATTATTTGAATTTATGGACTAAGAGTGTAATTAAGCCTAATTTAATTTAGCAAATAATAAAAAACAATATTTACTCATTACAATATTCATCTCAACTTGTAAAGGTTACCAATTTTTTGAGCTATGACAACGATTTCAATTGCTGAGTTTTTCTGTTGATCAATTACAATATTTACTTCTATCTGTACTTAGAACCGTAGACAGTATTAGAAGGTTGCTTGCTTAAAAATAAAATAAAATAAAAAAAGACTCGAGTGTTCTCGTGAATTTCAAAGCATATAATCGCCAACATGTTTCACAGACTGGGAACTGAAGAGCTATAGCTTTTTGCTGGGGTCAAATAAAAACATGAATTTATTTGGGAGGGGATTGAAAGATTTGTATGTTCTATTCGCACATGTAAATATAGAAGGTAAAGGTCCTAAATTAAGCAGTATGTCACAGTTTTCCAGAATTCTGAAACCTTTCTAAGGTTATTAAAATCAAGATGTTAGATTTCATCTTAAAACTAATTGGCATTAAGTAAAGTTGTCCAACAAATATATAAATCACACCCGGAGAATTGAGACAAGCGATATAGGACTTCCCAACACTCCACTCCCCTCAGATGCCTGCTGAACCAAGCAATGTCTACCAAAATAGACAAACTAAGAAGATGGACTCTAGGCTCTTGATAGACCAATTGGCATTATGTAAAGTTATCTAACAGATATAGAAACCGCACCCGGAGAAATTAAGGCAAGCAATGTGAGACTTCCCAACATCCTCCCACCATAGATGTCTACCGAACCAAGCAATGCCTACTAGAATAGGCAAAACAAGAAAATAAACTCTAGACGCTAATACCATGTTAGATTTTATCAAACCAAGAAGATGAGCTCTAGGCTTTGATACCATGTTAGATTCCATCTTAAAATCAATTGGTATTAAGATAAAATCTAACACAAGATATGTTGTTGGTTATTTTCAAAAGAAATATACAAGGAGGTAATAAAAATGGAAGAAAGGGACTGAATTGTATAAGGCAGATTTTTATTCAATGGCATAACATGAATTTATACAGAAATAGGAAAAATAGAATCACGTAAAATCTGCTATTGATAAGCATAACGTATGATAGAAATAAGGACAATTAAATATTCTGATTCTGACAATTATTTGACTCTTTTTTGCCTAAAAAACAGGAAAATAAAAACTGATATTTGGCAGCTTGATGGGTCATTTCAATTAACACTCCTCCTTGACATTGAAGCTGCATGTTCCAAGTCTTTTCCTCAGGAACTAAAATCTGTCTTAATATTGTATTTTGGTTGTTGTTTGTATGTATAGGTTATCACCAAACCAACCAGCAGCTCTCTGATACAACTGATGGGTATTTTTTGTCATTTCAATTAACACATGTTCATTCATTTCATAAAACAATATTCAACTTGTGATCTTGTGCAAAGGGATGATCAGTTTGTTTTGTTCAGTTGTAACTGTCATTAGGTAGCTGTTAGCCAATGTTAGAATTCAGTTAGGTGGTTAAACAACACTGTCAGTACTATATATACATATATAGCCCTCTATATCATTGTAGCGAGTAAAAATATTCTTTCATAGACAATTCATTTTTCTCTCTTATGATCTCTGCCTTAATACTTCTTTTCTCTCCTTTTATGTTATAGTTCTGATACCTTTATCCATATGTAATAATTCATAACCATTAATCGTTTTTCATTTCATATTAATTGATTGATAAGTACAATGGTTCATGCAGGGATACAGTGTTTTTCATTTCATAGTAATAGATTGATAAGTACAATGGTTCATGCAGGGGATACAGCGATATAAACGCCCTATAGCAGGAACCAAAGCTTAAAACTTAAAAAAGGTATGTAGAATTGTAAATACTATAATGGTGTCCACATTTGTTAATTATGCAGTCGGGTAAGATGCTTGCATAGCTATACCACAAAGTCCTTCAGCAGCACTCACGCCCCTTTGCATCCTAATGTACCCTTCTTCACCCCATTCAGTTCCCCATGAGTTCTTAACCAACCAATACTCAGTCCCATCAGTAACACCATATCCCACAGCAGTGACACCATGATCCAACTCAGTTCCACATGAACCTGTGAAAACACCACTTGTGTAAAACTGAAAGTCAGAGCCACTGGCATCAATGGCTACAGAAACTGGTTGATTTGCCACAGCTTTTTGCAGTGCCTTCTCATTGTTGGCAGGAACATCCTCATACCCAGTAATCGTAGCAGCATGGTTGCCTTCTTCATTTGCATTGCACTTTCCATCAACACCCTCAAAGGGTACTTGGCTTCTGTGTTGAGTCCATGGTTTTGGATGATGAATTTGAATGCATCATCCATAAGACCACCTTCACAGCCTTGGTCCACACCCTTTGTGTCACAATCAACAAGTTCTTGTTCTGACAAAGAGATCAATTTTCCAGTACTCAACTTATGAATTCCTTCAGTTGCTGCAACAGCAGAAAATGCCCAGCAACATCCTGCAAGGCAAATTAATAGTTAGATAATAATCATTCAATATAATTTGACTTGGTAAAAGAGTTATCAGCACTTACCACATTGGCCTTGGTCCTTGATGGGCGTAACTGCTCCTTTTTGTCTCCAATCTATAGAGGAAGGTACTGCAGTCACATTTTCATACTTGAAAGTGGTTGTCCTTATGATTGAGGAACACATGTGGCCCTTGAATCTATTTCTTGGTGCTATGAACTCCTCGTTCGTGAGGTCTGCAAATTGATTGATGCCTAGCTTGTAAGGTTTGTTGGCAGCATTGTTGAAAGCTTCAATGTAATTAACATTGTCCTTGAATATCCTGAAACGTTTTTCCCTTTCCTGAGGGTTGCTATACACTTTGCCATAGTGAGTCATCCATTGCTCATGCCTCTCATACATGGAAGCATCTTGGAGAGTGCGGCATGTGACTTGAACACCCCAGAATCCCATGCAGAAAAGCAAAGCCAGTGAAATATGATAGAAATGATTTTTGGCAACCATGGTAGCTAGCAGTGTAGTTTGACAATTATGGGAACAACTTCAGGTTAATTAGTGAAATGTGAGAAAGATGTGTTGTGGTGATACACAAGATTATTTGTGGTATTTATAGATGAGATTTTTTTTGAATATGAGTATTGTGTCCATCCGGACAAATTATTTGTCAAGGGTAACGTAGAGGCACCAGCATAGGGTGCGCGCCAGAGTAGTTTTCAAACGGATGCCTTGTGTGATTGAAGTACAAGTAAGTCAAAAGCATTAAATATATTTTAGTCAATGTAAAAATGAGTAAAAATGAGTAAAAATGTATAGATATTTAAAACAAATATAATTTATTTAACATAAAATAAATATTAGAGACTAAAAATAGTAACTTTAGATTTTAAAATAATTAAAATTAGTGAAAAATATTTTACAGCAACTAATATAAAAATTTGTTTATTTTATAAAGATAAGAAATAACAATTTTAAATTTTAAAGGAATAAAAAAAAATCTATAAACACCCAAATTAAAACTTAATTATTTTAGAATAACTAAAACATATTTAAATCTAAGTTAAAATAATTATTTATGAAATTTTGTAAAACTGCATCTACACCCTAATTTTTTAACATCTATACTATTACTAGCCTATACTATTTTTACCTTTGTACTAACTCCGAGAAACATTACGATGACACTTCTTAGACATTAATCACTTTAAAATATTAAAATAACTTTAAAATATTAAAATAACTTTAAAATATTAAAATAACTTTAAAATATTAAAATAACTTTAAAATATTAAAATAAATATAAAAAATGATATATTAAAAAATATAAGAAGTTAAAAGAAATGTTGTATTGAATAAATTTTATATTTAATTAAAGAGATTAAAAAAAATTAAAATAAATATAAAACTGACGGAGGATAGTATTTGAATTTTGAAAATAAAACACACATACACA